AGTTACGGAAAATTAATTAACACACGGAGACGTAACAATATTATTACGGATGTTTACTTGTATTCGTTTTTTCATTTTTCGAATGTCAAAGTCAAAGTTAACATTAATTGACTAAGTGAGTAACATAACGCCAGCGTGGCAGTTGAAACGGAAAACCGAAGTTAAATTTAAACTTAAAGGTACTATAAGAAACATCATTTTTGAACAGAAACAAGTATCAATAAAATTTACCTTCACTAAATGAAGTAAACCGAAACAATATTGCTTAAGATGCGTAATTTACGAGAAGGATAGAATCTGAATAACTTAAATAATTAAGTCATCACATACTGCCTCTTTAACAATATTTGATCGTTACATCGACGCTTAAATGTAACCGTATGAATTGACTCTAGTGTGATAGAGGGCGTTAAATTATTGAAGTTAGAATTTGGCTGGTTACGTCATGCGCATGAGCATTAGTGACAAAGGGATGGGATTGGGATAGGATAGGATTGAATATGGCGGAATAATGGAGTTTGTGAGCATTGGAACTTGGTTCGAAGTTTGAGGTATGGTTAACGTTAGGTTACGTGAACCTGATGAAGACAGACCCATGTTCTGTCGAAACGTGTAGTAGGTTTTTGTTCAAAAGAGTGTTTTAATGCTTGTAATTCGTTGTTGGTCAGTTCATTGTGAAAATATTACGTATCACCAAAAATTCAGAGAAATTATATGAATTATGACAAACTTTGAAAGAAGAAGAACACTTTTCAAAATAAAGTTGTTCATAATTCATGTAATTTGATTTAATCTGAATTTTTGGTGGTACGTATCATTTAGAAACAAGAACTTGAAAGTGTATATGCAGTTATACACATGTGTACTTTAAGTTTTAATTATGTTTATTTGCAATTAGCCAAATAATAAATATATTTATGTATTTAATTTTAAAGTTATTTGCATGTATATCAGTATATATAAGATTGTTGCTAAGTCGTTATTTTAAAATGGTTCCAATGTTGTTGAGTGTAACTATCACAGTATCAGTCAGTATCACTTAAACTGATAAAGCTTGAATATTTAAGTAATGGAATTAAACTTAAAAGATCACCATAATATTAGTAAATGTTTTGGTATGTAAAAGTATACAATTTTTTCAGTTAATGAAATATTGTTTTTCCTACTGAAATAAATAAGTCTAAATGATGATATTGATAAATAATGATAAAAAATTTCAATTACAAGCTAAACCATCACTCCTTTAATTGAGATTTAAAACTAAATATCCTAATTGGCTAAGAGACTTTACTAATTTAAACCTTCTTCAGATTCCACTTTCCTTATCATTTTGTTTCTCTGTGATTGTAATATTTTGCTTTTATATTTGTTATTATTGTGTTGTAATTCTTTAACCAGATCCAGTTTAATCAATATGTGTGAAACTTGTTTGAAGTATGTATTTGATAGTCTTCAAATTTACTTATATATGTACTAATGTTAGTAGAAGTAACTTAACATTATTTTTAAGTTGTTAGTAAAGCATATTATGTAGTACTAGTAGTATTTTATAATTTATGTAGATAGATTTTGGAAAGAAAGGCATAGAATATTAAGGAAAACAAGTTTCCATTTGGTCCTTCAAGACCGTCTTTGCATATCTCCCTCCTCCTTGAGAAAAACATTCATTCATTATTTTTTTCAGTAGTTCATCTATTACCATTTTAACACATTCATTGCCACTGGATGCACATGTGTATCTAAAGATATGTTATCCAGTGCTGTCAATGCATATGCAAGTCAATTAAAATGTCAAACATATGTATTTTATTGGAGTTGGCAGGAGTTAGAGGTCAGTTCTGTTGTCACAGCATTGACATGAGGGTCTCTTCTTACAGAAATTTTACTTGGTTGTAAATTTTTTTATTTTGTATGTATTTTCTGGTTGGCTATTACAAAATGGGTTAAAATAGTGCTCCTTTAAAGCCTATGCTAAGAAAGAAGAGTTCAAAGCCTCACAGAAACACCAATGGTGAAGAATTATTGGATTTATTAGATAGTTTGGGGAGTTTGTCTTTCTCAGACGTAAGAACGAGTATTTTCCAAGGGAAGAAAGTGACATTGATAATGAGGCATCAAATTTCTTCAATGTATTGAATGAATCATTAGTTGAAAATGAAGACACTGTACCTAATATTATTGCCTAGGCCTAGTGATTGCAGCAGGCCCACTGATGCTGGTATGGCTATGTGGAGTAACGATTTATCAACCACGTAAAAATTGCAATTTACTGGAATTCAAGGGTTAAAAGTTGACATTCAGTTGAGTTTTTTCTCTTTGTCTCAAATGAGTAGTTTTACAACCTTAGTTATTGAAACAAATACATATGGTAAGGAGTTATTTCTTCATGAGTTATATTCCAATGACTGTAACTTACCCTTCTTGTACATTCAACACATATCTAAAAACCATGACAATATAATAAAAATATTGATGATATTCATGTGAATTATGTGGCACTTATAAAAGACTTTTAGCTGCAGTGCCAATGATGCTCATGTGGATCATAGTACAGATTGTAGTTGAATAAGTATATATATCCATGAATACTCTATCTGATATTATTTCACATCAATAAAAAACAAACAAAAAAAAACAATGGCACTTGGCATGGGTATCGATCTACGAGGCAGCAGTGAATGTGTTAAGCTCTTGTAAGATGCAGCCCTCTACCATTGCCAATGTCATCTTATGCCATGAGCCAGTTTAGAAAAATAAATCAACCTTAACTGGAATTTACCCTTTCCAAAATCTTCAATTTGTGCCCTAGTGTTTTTATTTTGTAGTTTGAAGTAGGCCTTACTGCATACAAAAAAGCTTCTCAAAATTAAGAAGTAAAATGTTAATATTCTTTTTATTTGTTTGTGTAAGATGATAAGCACAGATATTTTGATATATAAAATAGCTGCATGCTTTCTTTAACTGTAGTGTCACTTTTATTGGCTTGTCTGCAGTTCTTGCGGTAACTTAATTGTGCTAGTTTTGGATTGATAAGAATGACCCATTCAGCAGTTAAATTGTAAAGTTTAAAGGATACTATTTTCAGAGTAGGAATAAATATTTTATAATAGCTTGGGGGCTGGTTTACTCATTTTTTTCTGAAAAAGGAGTACATTTGCATCTAAATAATAATTTTTGTTTTAACACTTGTTGAATGAATTTAATTTCTCTAGTTACATGTATATGTTTCTCAAAATTGGTTAATTTCTAATGTCACAATAATAACTCAAATTGACAAAAAAAAGGAGGAAATTAAATATGAGTACTATTTCAGTTTTTGATTGGAAGTGAAGATGCAATATGGTTTTACTGAGGATTTTATTTTTTTTATCAGTACCTGCTGGTTACAATGTCATCAAGGGAAGGAAGAATTGGAAGTAATTTGTCTCCAGAATCCATTAAAGTAACAGCAGAATCTGTTGGAATATCTAATCTTCCAGATGAATCGGCCAAAGAACTGGCAGAAGACATCAGCTATCGGTTGAAAATTATTATTCAGGTCAGAGATTAAAAAGTTTGGTTATTCAGATGTGTATAATATGAACAGTGTAATATCCTAAATTTTACTACAAGTTTTTCTTATTAGGATATAAGAATTAGAGGAGCTAACTTCTTATGACTTGATAAGCTTTTATTATTTTTGTGGATAGTGCCAACAGATGTGTCATATTGTGAAAAATCTAGTTTTGGTTTCCTTTATCTTTATAAAGTTTATATTCTGTTGAAAAAAATACCTCATTTGTTTTGTAGCTCCAGAATGCTTAGAATGATATTAATACATTGTTTTTCCTTGGTTCTGCAATTTAAGGGACCCGTATCATCTTGTATCAAAATAAATGGGGGAAAATGAAAATTTTGAGGGACGAAACCCTTAAGACATAAAGTATTTCGTATTGAAAAATATTTCTAAGGATGAACAATTATACTCAGTTGATGGAATAAAATTGTGTTAGCACTGTTTTGTTAGTTACTTCCACATTAAACAAGTTATTGTTACAATTGTACAGTTTTCAAAACAAAATCTTAAGTAATCTCTGTGGATTTGGTACACTAGACATACGTGCTCAACCCAGAGGTGGACAATTAAATAAATTTTATAATTGGTTAATTGTCAAACTAATTAACTCTCTCTGGACGGGTCACATGTCAAAGGCCATATCATTACATTTGTTGACTCACATTCAAAATTTTATTGAACTACTACTTTATGAATTTATGTCAATAAGTCTGGTATCAAACTGTAGATTATAATTAAAATTTTAGTATTATACATTATTTAATTTCTTAATTTAAAAAAACACGGATAAACATTGATTTTGTGTGTGTCACGTGTTATGTTAATTGCAGCACTGGTTAAAATTAGATGTTTGTGATGTCAAAATACTATAGTTTTGTATGAATTAGGAATTCAAATTACTAATATTGACAATCTAGAATATAAAATAAGAACCTTTATCTTTTCTCTTTGCCGAAATATTACTCATGTACTGAGTCAAACATAGTGGCCCCGCTCACCTCTTTCCATTTTGTAAATGGTCCCTTATGTACACTTACTTCAATATATGATGTGAATAACCAATTGTAACTTCGGTGTTGTTAGCCAGGCATGGCTGAAAGGTCAATATGATAAATGTATAATGTTATGAGATTTAACCTATTTAGTCTACATATTTATGTTTTTGTATTATAATTTGTGTTCATTCTGGAATGAAAGAGGCAAAATTTATATTTATTTCCTAATTATTTATGTTGGTAACGAGATTGGTCAAATCTACCAACCCCGTACAGAGATTCGTTAGTGAAAATAAAATATAAAGTTTTTTTCTTAAGAAACATTTGATAACTATCTGGACATTATAATAATTTCACATATGAAATTTGAAAATTTTCTAATGCATAATAAGTATTTTTAATCTTAAACTGAAAATTACTTTGCATATTGAATAGGCAACATGTGAAAAAAAAAAAGGTATGAAAAAAACATTGATTAACAAACCTTAAGACTTAATAAATAAATTTGATATTTTGCATTTGAAAGCATTGTAATGTTTATTGATACTCTGCCAAATTTTGTTAACATTCTCATACTAATTTAAAAGTTATAGCATGAAAACTATAAGAAGCACAAAATGGTTACAAGGGCAGTCTTGCAAGAATTAATTAATTATTTTCATTTGAGACTTGAAAGAATCAAAAATAAACACTAATTTCAGTCTGATGATTTTCATGAGTTGTGACTAATTGACTAAGTTGAACAACCTTGATTGAATCAAAAATTATAATGAAAAATCATAAAAGAAATGTTTGATTAGTTTATTATTTTCTTGACATAAAATGGTTTAATTGATTTTTGATTAATCAGTGATTTTTCATGACACTAATAGGTGTAATTGATACTCATAGGTAATTGAGTTAATCATCCAGCTCTATCATACAATGTTGCATGTAGATTCTTTATGATACTACCCTGAAAAGTGAATTAATTTGTTTTTGTTTAAAGTAATGCCAATAAACTGATTGAGAGAAACAACACCAAAGAACCAATCTAAGTTTCAAATGGACAGCATTTGTAGATTTCTACTACAGGCAGTTGCTGTCCATTTGAAACTTAGATTCATTATGAATACTCTGCCTGAACAACACCGAAGAACATTTTTGATTACTTCACAATAACAAAGGCTTAGATTGTTAAACAGTGCACCAAGGATAATGTTATTTCCTCACTGTCCTCTCATTTTTAATTTTGTGTTTGCTAAGGAACATGGTTTAATGTCTCTTCAAAAAAGAAAAAGATCCAGTTTGATTAATGTTAATTTAAGGATAAAACACAAATCATTGGAAAAATAATATTTTAAGCACTCAATTGACTGGGTACACATCTTTTTTATGGTTGTATACATTGTTTTTTTTGTATTTCTATAAAAAATACAAAAACTAGTTTGTTTAAAGAATCACCAGGTGATCATTATTAAACAGCACAAAAAATTGCCAAAAGTAAACCATTCTCCAAAACTAAAGCTACAAGCTTCAAATTTTGTTACTTCTAAGTCTAATAAAGATAACCCCACAATTATAAATAATTTTTTGATTTGTAGTTAAAAATTTGTAAATTAAACATGCTAAACTATGAAATTAACTCTTTCATGTGTAAAGGGGTGCAGTTTGCATCAAGAGTAAAATTTCCACCATTGAATTAAAAAATTATAGAAAATAGACTTGTAAATGTTCCTCCACACATTGGAGGAAAAAAACTTCAGTTTTAATTTACTTAATAAAAATGTTGTATTTATTTAGTTTTTTAGAAAATAGCGCTAATTTGAACATTTATTTTAAGTATAGGTTTATCAGTTTTAGCCAATCACTGTTTCACAACCCTTGTTGTTATGATTTGATGTCACTACCTATATATCAGTTTGAGAAGTCATAGGCTAGTGATTTAAACACCTAGTGAAAGCTCTCTGTTCTTTTCAACTGTGTGAATAAATATGGCTTACAGTTCAGCAAAAACTGGAACAGAAATCAGAACAGAGCCTAAGTAACTGCTTGAATGGACAAAGAAAACACTGAAGAGAAATGTAAAAAATAAAATGTAAATTAATATAAGATAGGTTAAAAACATAGTATGTATATTATATGAAAACTTCTGGTTAACAGTATAAAAAGTTGGGTTTTTATAATTTTGTAAAATAGATATTTTTGTTGTACACCAGTGATCATAAACACATTGAAACTGTATGAAGTTTCTCAAATATAGTTAAAGTTATTGTTTTATAAAATGTAAACTTTATAGGAAATTTCTTTGAGAATGTAGGAAGACATAACAATCATTAATTGGAATCTACAACAAAAGTATTTTAATTGTTTTTTAAAAAAAGACATATTACATATTTGAATTTTCAAAGCTTAAAGTGCATACAAAAATCATTTCAGTACAAAGTTCAGTTCAAGTTTCAAGCTATTTTGTTGAATAGTTTTTTTTCAATGTAATAAATTAGGTATATTAAATGATTTGACCACCCATGAATTTAATAGTTAATCATTTAGATTTCAATGTATATGCAATGCTTTTTGTGTTCAGTGAAGAATTATGTTTTTACAATAGGATGCTCAAAAGTTTATGGGCCATGCTAGAAGAGCAAAGCTAACAACAGGAGACATTAATATGGCATTGAAAGTAAAAAATGTTGAAGTAAGTTATTTTATGTATACACATTATTTTTAAGTTACTGTGAACATCTATGTGCAAATAGGATGCAAATTTTGTTGTCTGAGTTTTTATACTATGTAAAGCATATGATAAAGTAGCAGGGCTATATTAGTATTTTCAGAACTACTGAAATGAAGTATGAACTGTTTGAATATTTAATCTGTGTTCTGACTTTCATAAAAATGATTTAAAATTGTATTAGAATTAAATGGACATTTTGTTTTAAAGACTAATTTATAGTGTTAGTGTATTTGAGAAGTGTCACAGGGTAATAAAACAAGTAATGGAAAATTGTACATTAACTCTCCAGTTAACCCTTTCTTTATGGGTAGGTTAAAATGTGTATATCATAACCTTTTGCAGAGTTACATTCAAAATATAATTAAAGTATGTTATTTTCAACGTATGTGGATAAACTTAGCTTCAAAACATAGTTAATAAACCAAATTTTCATATTATGTAAGTTGTTTTAATTTTTTAATTTTAAAAGGAAGTATTTAAATAAATCCTCAATGTCCCCTTGTATGAGAATGGTAACATTTGTTCTTTAGATCTTGTCCATTCTTTAATTTATTTACCACCTCTCTTTGAAGTATGGAGTTTAATATATATTACTCATTATAATATAGATATTATGAAGGCAATGTCTAATTTTTATAGCCTTCAATCTTTGTTTGCAGAGACATAAACTAGAAAGTCAAACCCACTTGCCATGCCAACCTGTCACATCCTCTCTTTCACAAATTGCCAGTAATTCTTTCTGGCATTTTACATTATATCATTTACAACCAATAGAAAAGCAAAGTTTTAATTTATCAAATGACCTATTGTACTATGTTGTTTTCAGTATAGAGTATTGTCTATTTCATCTTCAGTTTGAAAGATTCTCTTGCAGTATTCGGATGAAGAAGATTAGGGAAATATCTTAAGACTCTAATGCTACAGTTAGAAAGCCAGTTAAATTGTAATACTTAAAGAACATTGTTTACTTTGTATGTGTTATTATTTTGTGTTCTTAGGTGCATTATTTAAGTACCAACAGTATAAAAAAAAAGTAGGCTTAAATGTCATCAGCAAGTAACAACAAAAAACAAGAGGTCAAAGGTAAGTACTATATTTCTTGTTTTTCATTTATATATTTTACATATTGTTATACAGTAACTAAAATGTAAAAATTAGAAACTTAGTAGGTTAGATTAGGTAAGATAATGAAAAAATAAATAAAACATTCTCCACAAGGTAGCTCATGCGTTACATCATTCAATGTAGTAACTTGAGCTATGTGTCACTGTGTGATTTACAATTTGTGTGGCAGGATTATTAGTTAGACACAGTTCAAAGGGCAATAAAACAATAAAATTAAGTATGAGTAGATAGATATATACTGTTATGAGCCTTAAGCTATTTAGAATAAACATATGTAGGTTCCTGTTACAATCTACAGTGATTCTAGAAACTAAAGAAGAGTCATTTAAATTTCTTTTGAATTTTTTATGGTGGCTACAAGGTTGGTTAATCAATTGAGTTCATTTAGAGATAGGGCAGATAAAATAACAGATAAGATATAAAGTTTTACTGCAAAAAAAAACGTTTGATATTTATTTAGGATGTATTAGAGGTTACACAAGTGAAAGTTGAAAATTTCAGATTAAGGAAAGTATTTCTAATCTGAACAAGAAAATCACTTTGCACAGGATCATTCAATACTCTGATTCCATATATTCACAGACAAATTTTTATTAAAAATACTTAATTAAAAAATCAGATTTTTTTTTCTACAGAAGACTTGTAATGTTTACTAAAAGCTTGCCAAATTTTATGAAGATGCATCCACCATACTAAAAGTTATAGTATGGAAACTGGTGGTTACTTTGAGGTTAAAAGATTGATGTAATCCACTGACCCCGTATGAAAATAGTTAATAAGTTAGTGAGAAGAATATGTTACTTGTACTCAGTGCCTTTTAAATTTTAACAAAGACAGATCTTATTGATATTTTTTGTCTTAAAAGACTGTCATCTAAATTATGATGCAACATTTTATTCACTTGGTATACATTACTTCACTTTTGCTTTGTTTATGTTAGAATTTGACATTTAAACTGCTGTGAGTGGAAAAGTTTCAAAGATTAAAAATAAACAACACATTCCTGGAGTATTTCAAAACAGACTATTGCCTGTTTATTTTAACTTTGGTTGTTTGGATGTTTTTAAAAACAAAGCTAAACCATCATATTTTGTGTTAAGAAGGTAAGTGGCATTGGAAAATTTTATGGAGAAAAAGGCAAGACTGAAGCTTTAACTCATGACTTCACTCTGCTTTCTTTGAGGATATTAATTGGTAATAGCCAAATGATTGGAAGCACAGAGTATAAGGTCTGCTTATGAATATTTAATAGAAGCAATGCATCATGTCAAGTTTGAGACTGTTCCATCATTAATACAATAAATTTTCTGAACAGACCTTTTTTTTTAAGGATTCTATTTTTGGATTGGATTAAAACGTTGAAAAGCATGGTGCTGTTATGTAATTTGTACTAAATGTTTTGTTAATTTTTTTTTGTGAATCTCTCACACATAGCCACTATATGGTTTTTCTGCTCCGGAATTTATACCATTCCGATTTGCAAGTGGAGGGGGAAGAGAATTACATTTTACTGAAGAAAAGGAATTAGAACTGAATGATATTATCAGAGGACAAACACAGAAATTACCATTAGATGTAACACTAAAAGGTAGGTACACTTATTTAATATTATGTATGAAAATTAATGTTTTAACTTCATAGCTATAGAAAAAAAATGTTTATCAAAAATCAAATTTTAAGTTAAGCATATTCACAGCTGAATAATTTTTAACACTTGATACCCTGATCAAATTAAGCTGCTTCCAGAAAAATGGCTTGTATAAAAATAAAACAATTTACAACTATGAATGTGACTAATCTCAGTTTTCACTGTTATAGAGCTGTATGAATATGTATTTATGAATGGTTTTAGTGTACTTCTAACTTTTATTGGAAGATTTTATAATCTAGTTAGTTGGATCTCAATATTACATGATAAAATTTGTTTACTGTAGTTTAAGTGCTACATTATTATGAGATATGCTGTTGTTCTTAATACAAAAACAATTTGAGTAATAAAACTGAAATTAAACCAGATTAATTGTTTTAAGTGTTATTCATTTAATTACATTGAGAATATTACAGAAATATGGTAATTTATAAAATGAATATTTAGGCTAATGAATTTTAGCACCTGTGTATCAAGTTTGTAAAAACTTGATTTTCATGCTAGAATCTTTTTTACAAATGAAATTTATAAAAATATTTATATGTACACACATTTTTTTTTACATGTTGTGACATCTCCGTCTATGTAAGAAAACTTCATAAACTAATTGTTATATTTTATGTTCACAAAATAATAGCATATACTTTTAAAAGCAAATAAAAATATGACCACACTGGCAGTTTAAAGCATAACTTTTCATATTTAATGAACACCTGTATTCATCATGTCTTCACAAGAAAATGACTTAATTTATTTAATATGATACTTTCATAAAACATAAATTACTAATATAATTAGATCATAATTAATTTCACCTTACGTCTTAATGTTTGTCCTGAGACCATGGATTCAAACATTAGATTTTTTTTAAATAATTTTTTGGAGTATTGGTTGGTATTAATACATATAAGCATTAAATGACCTACAGTTATTAAATTGCACAAACTATTTAATTTTTACAGCTCATTGGCTAAGTATAGAAGGTGTTCAACCAACAATTCCTGAAAATCCTCCTCCAGGTCAGTATTTCATCTTAGAATATTGACTACTGTAACTTGTTTTACATTAGCTAAGTTTAACATATATAATTCATATTAGTGTATAAATCATGTTCACCTTTTTCAGGAGTTCTACTGTTGAAAAACTAATTTCAGAAATCTGCTTAGTATTTTAAAAGTTTTTTTTGTCACAAATAAATGAATGAAAATTTACAACTGTGAGCTTCAAGTATCATTCATCAACCCGTTTGCTAAGGGTCACAGGTGAAAGTCCGTGTCGTCCTGTTTGTTGACTCACATTCAGAATTTTATAAAACTACTATTTTATGAATTTATGACAATAACTTTCATATCAAACTGTACATTATAATTAAAATTTTAAAAGTATATATTAAAAACACAGATATTTAAACATTAAATATATATAAATGTATAATGTTATGAGATTTAAGCTATTTCTTCTAAACATTTATGTTTTTGTGTCATAATTTGGGTTCATTCTAGAATAAAAGAGGCATAATTTGTACTTATTTCTTTTTTTGTTTTTGTGATGGTGGTTGCGAGATCGGTCAAATCTACCGAACCCGTACAGAGATTAATTACTGAGAATAACAGATCAAAATATAGAAAAAAATTTTAAGAAACATTTGATAACCATATGGATGTTGTAAAGATTTTGCATGTGAAATTTCAAAATTTTCTGATACGCAAAAGTATTTTTAATCTTAAAATAAAAATTACTTTGCATGATAGACAGACAAGATGTGAAAAAAAGGGATGAGAGAAACATTGCTTTAAAAACCTTAAGACTTAATAAAAAAAATTAGATATTTTGCGTATGAAAGCATTGTAATATTTACTGATAAACTGCCAAATTTTTTTAACATTCGCTCACTAATTTGAAAGTTATAGCATGAAAACTATAACAAGCACAAAATGGTTACGAGGTTGGTCCTAAGGACCGAGCCCAGGTTGAAAGAGTTAATATCAAAAAATAAAATTGTTAATCTTGTTAGCTCTTGTGCCAAGATAAGCTAGATTAACAAATCAGTTCAGTTTTAGTTCACATATCTTAATCTTTTGTCCAAGCAGTTAAAATGTATTTCAAAATAGGTAAAAATAAAATGGAAATGTATCAGAATTATAATTATTTGCTGATATATAACTTATAAAAACCAGAATTTTGAAACAGTTGAAGTGCTCAGGTGAAGAAGTTGCTTTGCTCAGAAGTGATTGAATAGTGGTTTTGTTAACAATTTATTGGATTATACTATTTGAATTTATATACTATTGGAAATAACTTATAATGTAAAGATGACAAGTTAGTTCTAGCTTTTGTAACTGTGAAAACATTTTATAACAATTTTTAATTTTTGATGAAAGCAACATACCTGGCTAGATTAGAACAAAAAGATTGACGCAGTGAAAATTACTATAGCTAATTTGATAGACTATTTCAACTAGGAGTATTCAGTGTGATAAAAGAAGTGCTTCAAATGATTAGAATGGTTTGATTCATTAGTTGGAATAAGTATTTATGTTTTATGATTGTGTACAAAATTGCACTGTTTGTTGTCATAAAACTAGTTAGAACATACTGTATTCACAAGTACATAAGTATTTGATCAATATTGATTAATGATTTGGGTTAAATTTTCAGTTTTCAATGATTAAATGTGTTCACTAAAATGTTCAATGAAATATGTTTATGTTACCAGAGAAAATGTTATTACTTGTGCTCTGTTCTCATACTTTGAGTTCCTGTATTAATAGTGAAAAAATATAAGTAGATTTCACAGCAATAGTTATTGCACATTAGTTAAGAAATCATTAACCCTTTCTGAAAGAGTGAGCACCTTTCATGTGCACTCTTGCACATCAAAATTTAAGTAAAAATTATAATAATTCTATCTTTCAACAATTTTGAAATTAAAAATGTTTTAGAATTGGTATTTTATCATTTTAAATGTTTTAATATTTAGTATAATTTACAAAGAAAAATCTAAAATTGTTGAAACCTAATTTTTGCACAGCTCTGTGGATTCTTTGCTGTAAACAATGTAGTTGAACAAAACTTTATTACTCTATGTAGTGTCCAAAGAACAACAGAAAGCAGAAAGTATAGATCCAGCAGTAAAGGTGAACAAACCTGGAAGCAGTGGATTGACCCCTGCTACAGGAAAACCTGCTGGAAGTGGAAAGAAAGATAGAGCCAGACATGTGGAAGTGGTCAGGGTTAAACAGTTAGCTACACATGAACTCTCTGTGGTAAGAATAATATTGGATTTAACATTATGAATGACTCTGATGTATTGTCAGGTCTGAACCTTATCTCAGATAAAAGGATACCCTATTCACCAACATTTTGAAAAAATATACATAATGGGAACAGGCCCAGTACTTAAAGCCACCTTATACACCATGATAAAAGTTAACATTAAGTTAAACTGGTATGTTTACATTCTAAGAACTTGTATGCAACTGTGAAAAATATATAAATTGTTGAGTTGTTTTCTATGCATATTTTGTTTATGAGAATTAACATTGAGAGATTTTCTGTGTTGTCGAAAAAGCTCACTTCTAGGCTTTCAATTCTTATTTATTACTGTACGTCTGAAAGTTTTTACTGTAAATTGATTTATAGTAACTTTTTTTTGAGTACCATCAGTTCGTAAAATTAGAAACTCAAATTAAAAATACCACCATTAACATTTTATGAAAGTAGCCCCAGTTGAACTGAGACTCTGAGCAAATAAATGTAATTCTGAAACCAATAATCACATTTCATACTATGTTCTCTGGTTCAGTAATACTGTGTCAGAAAATTAATATTATACTTTAAATAGCATTACTCACCAGTGCATGAGTGCTGTACAGGGCCACATATCTGTATCATTACTATTGTTGTAAACTGCTTCAGTAATGTCATTTAATTTAATTCATCACTTTATCAATTCCTAGTACTGAAATTAAATTAAATTAACCCTTTAACTGCACAGTTTAGATATATCTGAATAAATAAATAAATATATATATATACCCACTGACTGCAAAATTAGGATTTACCCCCACAGCTACCAAAAAGTTTCTCTCTATTGCGACATGCAGGAATATCCCCCTGTACTCAAAACAATTGCCTAACCTGTGTGCATGCTGCCATCTGTGTTCTACACCGTGAATGTTCATATGCCTCATTACAAAATTGCCAACTTTGCAGGAACACTTATAAAAACTATATAAAGACAGCTTCTTTATATCTTGGATATTATCTAAATAATTTGTTTTATATTTTGTAATAATTTTGGCCTCTTATTGTCTTAGTTTTGCCTATATTTATACCATTTACTGGAGAACACTTTTCATCTAATTTTCCTCAATTGTTTGTTTAAAAATCATTATTTTTCACTATCCAGTATGATTTTCAAGAAATATTACTGTTAGATACAGAAAATACAGCTTCTTTCAGTATTGAAATAGTAACACAAAGGTTTAAATTCATACTTTTATTTTTTGGTGGATAATTGACACTTTTGGGGATTAGCCTGAAAATTAATTGCACAGTGAAAGGGTTAATGTATTGCAATTTGTTGGCTGGGCTGTTCTTAATCAGTGATTGTTGTTGCTACATTGCACATGAAATTGCTACCAACTTGAAGCAGAAGCTCAGTCAATAGATAGTGTATTTTCAAAATTGAAGCAGCACTACAATTACTAAAGCATGTATTTTGACAGATTGTTTTTTTTTCTGCAATACTGAGAGGTTTCTGTTATGTGAAATGCTGGTAACATTGGGGTGGATTAATTTCTGTTGGTTTATTATAGTGTATTTGGACTGAAACATTGAATTCCTGGCTTTAGTCCATTTGTTATATCTATGTAATTATCTCCTGCAAAGCCCAGGATATTTGTGAAGTGCTGGTTACAGAGGGATGGATTAATCTGCTTAGTTTTCAAACAGTACTGTTATACGTTGTCTTGTAGTTCATTTAACATTTCTAGTTCATCTTTACAAAGCAGCAAACTAATAAAGTGTATAAACCACTACTGCAGACAGGTGCAAGTTCTGACTTTAATATTTACATTTGAGATGCACAGTATTAGTGATTTTTGGAGTGTTAGTCTTAAACTGTTTTCCTTTTATTAATTTATTTATTCATTTTTGTTTTTAACTTTTGTTTTTCATTTAATTGAATTTCAAGTATATGTGGTTGAAAACAAAAATTCAAGATAATACATTGTTACTTATTTTGTAATTTATTTCTGAAAAGTTTGTTTTACATCAGTCATGTAACTAGTTCTAGAAATAGTACAATCCAAGTACTGCTGCTTGGAAATGTATTGCCTTTTTATTGAAATATGAATTCAAATTAAAAAATTAAGTATTAAGAAATTATAAATATTTTAATGAAAACCAATTCTACAACTCATAAATTAAACTCAATAAAACTTTATTTTAAATAATTAACTAAAGCATTATATTTCAAAATCAATTTTAAAAAATGGTAACATAATTTTTATGCAGAACAATAATTCTAAAAGTTGCAAACCAAACTTGGTACAAATCAGTCTTAAATTTTAGTTAGAAATTTTTAATTTTTGGTGAACCTTATAAGCTATTATCGACTATGAATGAGGTCTAGTATGGATCTCTATTTTAAGCACTGAGAACATTCATAATCAGTGCACAGGTATTTTGTGCTTGTATGTAAACAGCTCATAACATGAGGTTGGCATTTCATAAAATCAGTGAACAGTATATTTGATGTTTTTTTTAATTGAATTGCAACAAAATTAGCAAAAATCACACACATAATGGCTACTTATTATCTAAAAACAAAGTTCTAAATGAACCAGTAGTATGATTTATTGTAGGGAATGTGACAAAGCATAAATCCTGACCAATATATGGTTCAGGGCTACTTTATTTTGATAGCTATCAAAGGTAACTCTCAAAGGTGATGGAGTTACATATAGTCATGTTTAAATGATGAGGAGTGTTTGTTTTGGCAAAATAAATCACACTTTTTCCCTGAGAGCATAACAAAGTAAAATAAGATTTTAATTCAATCAAAAAAGTAATTCCAAGTATCAGTATCACTTGATTGGGCCACCATTGTTCTCACGCACCAGTTTTAATCAATTTGCAAAAGATTTCAGCAATGCAACAAACATCTATGTTTTTGTGGCTGTCTCTGTGACCACATCAACGAGAACATGAATTAAGGTTTCACGTTTGTGTCTCTCGCATTGAGGTAAAGTTTCCAACATTTCTTTTGTGCATTGTTGAATGAAAGCTCTGACATTTTCGGCAGGATTTAAATCTGGAGAGTTCCCAATTCACATTCCACCACTTTTTCATGGACCACTCTTTCAAATTCAACAATTCTGAAACGTTTGAGACATTAATCAGATTTTTCAAATTCGGCATTACTATGTGTTGATTGGAAGACTTGGATTCTTGGAGCATGTCTGCGACTAGTTTTTGAGCCATCTAGAAGGGAGCACATGTGAAACGAACCTGAGTTCTAGTGAGCACCGTGATTCAAAAATGTTTGCAAAAAATTAAATTTGTAGAGTCAAAGACTGAAGAGTACGTTGAAATGACATTTTCTCACGAGTGATGATATATGCAGTCCTACCAAGTTCGTCATTACTTTGGGGGAAAAAAAGTATGATTTATTTTGCAACACCTCTTAATTTGTAGAGTAAAAAGCTAGTGCAACCATTGCAACTAACTTCTAATAACATCTAACTTATGCTTTTATTGTATGCTATAAATGTTCATATTTGTATATGTATGAATTGAAATAGTGATGCATGTAATGCTAATGCTTGAATTTAAATTATAATAATAATTCCACCAAGTATTGAACTGTTGCAGCCTTATTAATAAATGGATGTTTTTGTATTGCACGTTTTATATTTTATCTAAATATAACAGAAAATAATATAGTAGTAATTGAAATAATTTGGTTATGTGTAGTTAAAAATATTTCATATAGTCTGTTATGCAATGGAAATCCTACCAGTCTAAAGATTTTCAGACATTTCAGATCCTGACCATTTTCATTCTTGTGCCATGTTTTACTGTAGGTGTTGATTGTTGCCTTGTAATGCAAACTTTGATTCGTCCTTAAAGTGCATATGTTTCCATGCCCATTTATACTTGTTGGTTTTCGTGAAGCTACACATCCATTGGCATGCTTCATTCTAATGTGTATCTTACTGTCTTTAAGGCAATTTTCACAACTTTATTTAGAGCAAGGTCATTGGCAAGATCTCTGTTCGACTGTCATCTGTCATGTAAAAAACATACACTGAGATACTTAAAGTGACTTTTGGAGATTATTGATTTTCTACCTTCATCACTTCTCTTATTAACAGTACCAGTGTCACATGCCCTCTGTAGAGTCTTTCATACAGCTCTTACTGAAATATGGAGTCTTGCCACAATTTTTCACATGGAGTATCCTTGACCCTCCAGAACTGATTTTTTTACATGTGTCGTACAATATTTCAGTCCTAGAAGCTATGGCTGGATTCACATTACAACCGTAACTGAGCATAGCATAAATGCCTGTATTTTTATTAGCCTGATATAATTGTGGCACACTTTAATTGGTTGGATGACAACTAATTACAGTATAAACTACTAATACATGACTGTACTCTGGTGCATTTCTGTAGCATTTGACTTTTATACCTTTTTTTCCCCTCAATGTTTCCATATTTATTTCTAATACTGTGTATGAGCAAGTCTGTCATTTAACATCAAAATTAATTTTGTGTTATTAAGAGAGACTTATGTATTTCAAACATCACAAAGCTACTGTTTATATTGCTCCTTTTTTTTTAAAGAACAGAAAGAGAATGCACAATATAGTACCTTAAGAATAGTTTGAAATTAAATACATGTTAAACATAGACAGGTTAGGAACAGTGTCAAGTTGAACTCTTTTACATTTTAAACATACACAAACTATATCAATGTTTTGGACATTATAGGTCATTAAAAGAACAATTATTGCAATTACTATAAAAATTAAAGAGAAAACTTAAAACCTTTCTTTGCACCTTTTATTGTAGCTTTGTCCATTTATGCATTTAGCCACACTGATATTTGTGACTTTTTTGTGTTGATATTACAAAAAAAAGTTATATTAATTTCTTATTAATAGTTATGAAGTTTTTGTACTTCTCTGTACTTGTTAAATCAAATAATTTTGCACTTCAAATTCCTTGCTCATTAATTAGTTGGAGTTTAAAAGACACAATCCTGTTAATGATTACAGAAAGAATTGGTTTTTGTCCTTTTTTAAAATTCATAATGTGCTTTTTGTCAAAATAGGAGCAACAGTTGTATTACAAAGAAATAACAGAGGCCTGTGTTGGTTCAGATGAAGTTCGTAGATTGGTGAGTGTTTGTTTTGTATAATCATTTGATTTTTTACAATATAGATTAGCATCTACTTATAGGACTAATAGTTCTAAAGATCTCTCCAGTGTGGTGATTATAAATAAGTTACAAATGTACTTGTCTGTTCTTTAAACCTTTGCTAATAATCTAATTTTTAATACGAATTTATTCACAAGTGCAAAAGATCTGTGGAGAAGATTTTAAATAGAATGCTTTGTATATGCATTTATAATAATAAAAGGGTGTGTGTGACCACCATAACTCCAAGATGAAAGAACCTAGAAACTAGTGTGCATGCAAGTAAATAAGTAATAATACCCAGGTGCACACCCTCAGGGTTCACTTAGTATGGGTGCAAAATTTCAGGTTTCTAGGTTCTTTGCTTTTGTTGCTATAACAGTCACGTATTCTTTCCTATGTGATTTTTTGCTAGCTTGCCTCACAAGAAGATGCCCTAGTGCAAGCTAGCAAAAAATCACATAGGAAAGAATATGTGACTGTTATAGCAACAAAAGCAAAGAACCTAGAAACCTGAAATTTTGCACCCATACTAAGTGAACCCTGAGGGTGTGCACCTGGGTATTATTACTTATTTACTTGCATGCACACTTGCTCATGCACATCTTTTTATGCAAAAAACCACATAGTAAAGAAATGTGAATGCCATTTCTTTTCTATGTTGTTTTTTGCATAAATTTGTAATAAAAAATTAGATTATTAGCAAAGGTTTAAAGAATAGATAGGTACACTTGTAACTTATTTATAATCACCACACTGAAGAGATCTTTAGCAAAAGTACCGGGCTTCACTCGGGTTATTAGGTTGATTTATTCAAGATGACTTTGTTAGTGTATGTATTCTGAAAGAGGCAAAAATATTCTTATAGTAGAAACAGACTATCCTATATTTTTGTAAGACTCTCAACCTCCTCCCTGGCTTATAAAAAATGTTTTGTACCTTTTTATATATTAAAAAATAAACTCTCAGTTATGGAAACTACCTTATGGAGAACCTTCGAGGTCATTTGTTACTTAAGGTCATCCTTGATGTATAAGTAACTAACTTTAAAATATTCAGGTATTTGTTCAGTATACCGGGATGGAAAGACCAGCTTCAGGTAGCTGGGCTTGTCTTAGCTCACCTGGTTTATACTTGAACAAATTTTCAAGACAATGGGAGGGGGAGCTCAATATCATGTTTAGCTATTGAGAGGATTTTAAAGCTGAAGAGAGAAGTCTGATTCCCTGTTTCTTCTGTATTGTGTTGGTAGATAGCTGAGTTGGGAGGATTTGTAACTTTTCTTCCAGTTTTTTAGATAAACCCATATGTACCTCTAGCTTACTGAAGATGGATTTCTGAAGTTTCTGAAACATTTAATAAGTGCTTCATGTAATTTCGTTTGTGTTTTTCTTTATTATTAAATTAAGTTTTCTGAAAAATAAATTGATTACTATTATACTTCTTCCTTCTTGTTTTTGGACTGAAAATTATGTATTTTTTTGAAGCACTGTTGCTTCACATACCCATGCTATTCTCTATATGCTATGCATTAAAATGTTTACAGTGGACATTTTTGTATTGAAAATTGTTAAATGAGTTATTTAAAGTTAATGATGCATTTTTATGTAAGAGTATTAGATAAGTTGTTAGTAAATGATGTATTTTGCTACTATGTAGGAAGCTTTGCAGAGCTTAAACTCTGATCCAGGTCTTCATCAAATGTTGCCTAGTCTTTGTACTTTCATTTCAGAAGGGGTAAGTTATTTTCTTATTTATTAAATTTAAAGCAGATATGCTTGGTAAAAGCAGTAATACATATTTTGGACATTTTAAAAAAGCTTAAAGATAACTTTAGTTTTTTTGTATATTGGTACAGTATTCTAGGATTTAAATTTAGTTCTCACCAGCTGTGGAAAGAAATGCAGCTTATTGAAATAGTGTATATTACTTCATTTAATATAATTATCACTGAATGTATTACAGTTACTGCTTTTTTGTATGTTTTATTTGTATACTGATTGACATTATTGCATCATTCATGCACATTCTCACTTTCTAAAAGTGAAATGTGCAGTGTATTTTTTTACTAAAAAAGGCATGTAGTCTGTTATTTCACTGCACTTTAGTCTAACATTACAAGGATTAATTTGTGACTTAGACTTAAAAGTCTAAGCAAGAGCTCAGTTAGCACTTTTCATCAGAGCAGACTAGTCACTTTATTGTGTGTGCTATGTTATATTAAGAATATATGTTTAAAAGAAGACTTTTATAGCAGCTGATGATATGTGCAAGGTATTTTAAGATAGCTAGAAAATGATAAATCATATTTAATAATCATTGACCAGTTGTCAAGAATCCAGTGCTCCAAACAAAATACCTTTTACACTACTTTTTAATGCTTGGTTAATAGGGTAACATATTTCAGTTTTGTAGGTAGTATAAGAATAATTGTAAACTGTTACTTAATAGTTATAAAATACACACACATTTACTCACTTATATTGTACTATGTTGTTTAAATGATAGTTCTAAAATACATGTATGTCACTGTTCAAGAACATCATAGTTTTATTAGTTATGCTTTAATTTTTTTTAAACTATCTTAATATTTCTGTTCATTTTGTTGGTATTATTGTGTATTCTTTGTTAATAACATAAACCATTGTTATTCTTTTAATTACAGGTGAAGGTGAATGTTGTACAAAATAACCTAGCATTGCTAATTTATTTGATGAGAATGGTTTTTTCTCTGCTAGAGAATCAGACTCTGTACCTGGAGAAATATGTAAGTTTGAAATAACATATACTTTGAAATCTATGAAACTGTTTTGTCTAATTATGTGTGACAGTGGCAAAATTATTTTTTGAAACTTAAAATCTCTCATGTCAGGTAATGTATGATCAGAATATACAATATTGTGTAATTTATTTTACAAGTAATATTTTGTGATTAACATGCCATATTTTTTAAACTTGTGTCAAGATTGCCATGTTTAACAGTAAAATATGTGCTGATTCATTTTTTTTATTTGAGGTACAAGTTTGTTAAAATGATAACCTAATTTTACTGTTTGATATGGTATATATATAAGCAAATGATGTAAATATCTGCATTGGATTTAGAATTATTTTGCATTTTCTGTTTGAATTGTATAAAAATTAAGGAAAGAACTTGGGCTATAGAGTTAGTGTTTTTTGAGAAATTTGACATTAGTGATAATCTGAAACAATTAGTTATTAGATAAATATAATTGTATTGCATGTGATAGGTAGATGGATATCCAAAAAATTTAAATATAAGATCATGAAGTGCTACAAGCTTTTGCTAGATGCAGTTGGCTTAGAAATAGCATTTTGTACATATGTTGGGCAAATTATCAAATCTTAGAACTGGGAAAAGTAAAGCTTCAACTCACTGTTGTGTTAGATTGTGTCTGTGACCATACATGACCAATAGAATGTAACATGAAGCCATATAAATAGATTTAAAAAAACTATCCTGAGAGCAGTGCTAGAATACAAGGAAGAAAGCAAACAAATAGTAACAGTGTCATTAATTATCAATTTGGAAACATGCGTTTGCTGAACTGGAGAGTCAAATCTTCATCTTAAGTAAATAGAGCTTCACATTCATGGTAAGAATATCACCTTTTTTTTGTACAAGACTTGCCCATGAGTTTATTGTGAAACCATAAAGAAGAAACAATACTACATGATGGTTAGCTGGTTTCAAATTCTGACATTATATTGAGCGATAATAAGGTTCCAACTAAGTTCAACACATCATTTAAAAACTTCTCTGTGGGGTGTAGAAGAGCATATCTTGGGGATAATTTTCTGGAAGAAATGAAGGTTGAATTTGTTTTTTTACAGATTTTTCACAAGATTTGATGAAATTTCCTATACACTTTTTCAATTTACTCTCCTGAGAATAAATTTTAAAGCCAGGAAAAGCAAAAGGGCCAGCCAAGAGTGAAGCAAGCCAAAGTTTTAAATGTGCCTTTATATAAAATTTAATGAATTTTATAGTGCATAGAACACTACTTCAGGATTTTTGTTTAACTCATTCAGCACGGGTTCAGTCCCTGGGACTGACCTCGTAACCGTTTTATGCTTGTTATAATTTTCAAGCTATAACTTTTAAATTAGTAAGTGAATGTTAATGAAATTTGGCACATTATCAGTAAACACTACAATGCTTTCATATGCAAAATATCAAATTTTGTTATTAAGTCTTAAGGTCTGTAAAGCAATGTTTTTCAAATGTCTTTTTTTCTTCTTTTTTGCATGTTGCTTATCTAATATGCAAAGTAATTTTCATTTTAAGATTAAATATATTTTATGCATCCAGATAGTTATCAAATATTTCTTAAGAAAATACTTTATATTTTATCTGTTATTTTCAGTAATGAATCTCTGTACGGGTTCAGTGGATTTGACCAATCTCGTAACCACCATAAGAATTAAGAAATAAATCTAAATTATGCCTCTTTCATTCTAGAATGAGACATAATTTATATGTTACCGTATCCAATAACATAAAACTGACCTTTGATCTGTACAAAGTAACTTATCTTGGCTGTGTTTTAGTAGACTAGTATTTTGTAAAATACAGTCACATTTCAATTATTATACATTACATATGTATATAGATTATTGCTATTTTGAAATATGTTCTTAAACTTATTTTACTTAAAACATAGAACAGTAAATAAAGAAATAAAGCAAACATTTATCTCTTTTGGTTACGATCTTTGTACTTGGTTGCTAAACCTTTTAAAATTTTGCTCGTGGAGGATATGAAACAAAATAATTTTTTTTAGGTTTTATATATATACAGTTGAATAAAATAAAAAATCATAAATTACTACATCAATACCATAGAATTCCACCATAATTTATCAAGCTCAGTAACTAAGCTGTATTTCAGTCTAAAAAAGCAGACTAAAGACACAACCTACCTCCTTGAAATCTTGGTTCAAAAGAAAGAAATGACATTCAAACACATTAAAATAGCTGAGAATGGCACTAGGGGGACATTCTGAGCTTCCAATTGGTTATTCATGTCATATACAGAAGTAAGTGTATATAAGGGAGTGTTTTCAAAAATGGAAAGAGGTGGGCAGGGTGCCACTATATTGATTTATTACGTGAGCAATATCTTATCAAATTAAAATAATAAGAAGCTCTTATTTTGTATTCTAGCTTATCAATATCGGTAATTTGAGTTTATAAATCATACGAAACTACAGATTTAGTATTTTGACATCACAAACATCTAATTTGAACCGGTGCTGCATTCAACATACCACATGACACAAAAATCGATGTTTAACTGTGTTTTTTAATATTTACCTTTAAGTAATGTATAATACTAAAATTTGAAATATAATTTACAGTTTGATACCAAACTTATTGAAATAAGTTCATGGAATAATAGTTCAATGAAATTTTGAATGTGAGTCAACAAACATGATGACATGGCCTTTCACCCGTGACCTGTCTGGAAAGGGTTAATCTGGTTTCTATTTTTATTTATGTGTATTTCACATATTCAGTCTCCAGAAAAATCACATCTTCATTTAACTCCTAACCACTTACTCATGATATTACTGCTAAACAATTTTAATTAAAACTCATACATTAAAAAAAATGGATGATTTGTTCTACTAACAAGCTACTGTGTAGCCTGTAGGTTCTTAAAAACACTAGATTGATGATCTGTACAGAGAAGAATTGGGTGCAAATTATTGTGTATGTGTGGTTTGTTGGTTAGTGGCTTAATTCCAGACCTTTATGATTTATATTTGAAAAAAGCAGGTTAGTGAAAATTTGCCACACATACCTAAGACACTTCCTGTGTTCTTTTCCTTTGAAATTTAACAACACAGTTTATATAATTTTTAAATCATAGTTTACATTATCAAGTGTTTATATATATATTCCTGAGAGTTGCATAACTGTAAACAATCCAGTCATATTATAATATTATTAGATTTTATGTACTAGGTGTTTCTTTTGTTGAATGTTATCTGAAGTAACACTATAATAATAATTGCATCATTTGAAGTTCAAGTTTTAATCTCTTATAATTTCATGTAAAATATGCAATCATAAATTTTTTAAATACTCAGTTGCTTCATAAACACTTCTGGGCATGTAGTGCACCTTGTTTTCAACACTTCCCAATGTGAGTGGTAGTACATATCTATTGTTTATTCCCCTCAATAGTTAGTTATGTTACCTAGATCTTCATCACTTTAGTGACAGAAGTATTGGGAGCCAGGTATCACTATAAGAACAAAATAAGAAAAATATAAGCATGCACAGTGGCTAACATGGATTCTTTTGTGATAATCAAAATTGTTTTTGTGGCGTTTTGCAAGTGTCAGCTATTATTGAATTAGAGACTTTGTTTTTAAACAAGTTGGCTGCATAGTGATGCCATTACGTGACGAGTGGATTGGAAAACAATTATTTCAGTAATATACAATAAAAGCTTTTGGTTAAAAGTAAGAAAGTGAAGTTACACAATTTTGATCAAATGCTGTCAAAGTGAAACACTTGAAACTAGACTAGACAAGTTCTTAGTGGTGTTATATATAGTTAGAAGATACACTTTGAATGAGGAAAATATCACAATTTAAATATTGTCTCCAGGTTTCAGATTTTTTTAATTTGCTAGGTTTAAACTTTGCACAGAGACAAACTGGTTGCAAGTTCCTGTAGAGAACAGTTTGGAATGAGCCTGGTTCATCCTGTTATCATAAATAATGAATATTAAGACTCCTTAACAGAGCTCTTTCTGTGAAAAATATGAACTTTATCGAATAATAATTATGAAAGTTTGTGGTACTTCAAACAAAATTACAGGTGGAGGCACTGATGGGGAGAACATATCTTGTTATTTGTGATACATTTTGAAAAAGTTACTGAGATGTTTTATAGTAAATTTAATTTTCCCATTAAGATAAATTTTTAAACTGTTTTGAGGCTAGTGTGGTCCTTTGATATTTTTGATGTGTTTGTATATGAATACTATAAACATTGATTATTTTTCTATATTTTAACTATTCTTGCTATTTCTGTATGAGATTTTTATAGGAACTTCAGTAAACTGTTTAGGCTTACAAAGAAAGGCAGATAATTATATAATCAGACATCAAAATGATTAATACTACTGATAAATGAGAGTGGTTTATTTTAGTATATTATTGGGTAATTATTGTGTTCAGTCAAAATGTTAGGTAAATAGCACCAGCAGTGTTACCATCGTTGAGTGCTAATAAACTAACATAATAGTTTTATAGAATCATACTTAATTTGTGGGTATATTGGACAAATTACATATGCTGTCTGTAAAGATGTTTAAATTCAGCTGTTTGTTATTTTAAATTTAGGAACTGTATTCAACTATTTATAAACTTTTTTTTGTCAACAAATCTCTTAAGATAGATTTAAAAAAAAATGTGCATCATCTGTCAATTCCAAAATTTTATTTAAAAGATTGATACATGACAGTGATATCTTAAATTGACAAATATCAGTGTGATTTGATCATTACTAAAATTAATTTTTTTGTGACTGTTGTTGTTTTTATTTTCAGATCCAAATGTACTTGTTAAGTTATAGATTAACAGTACTAATGTTATAAATTGTGTTCACTAGGAAGCTATGTCTCATTCACTTCTCTCTTTCACAGCTTCATGAACTCATCCCTGCTGTTGCTACCTGTATTGTCACCAAGCAACTATGCAATCGACCAGAAGTAGACAACCACTGGGCACTAAGAGATTTTGCTGCCCGCCTGATGGCTCAGATTTGCAAGTAAGTATACTTACATACATCTGTTTTTGATTAGATGTATATATCATTGACTAAGTGAAAAGATTTTGAATGACTAGGTTTGGAAATGTGGTATCTTGTGATTATTTGTTTAGTCATTTTATCTAAAATGAGTGATAATTAAGAATATTGTCAATATTTAGATTTCAATTGACCGGTTTAGTTGAATGGTTCAAACAGAAATAAATGCTATCACTTGTTTTTTTGGCAAAAGAAAGTGGATGTAGTAAAAATGAAGAAGGTTGAAAACTAGATTTTTTACACAATTTTCAAAGGTGTTATATTAGTATCTTATGTGTTCAAGATTGACATTGAGAGTTAAGCATCCAGTTATTTTGTAATTCTTGCTCTATATTTTTATCATCAAGTAGACTGGAATAGATCATTTATAGTGACAAGATTAGATTACCAAATTAATTTTAACTGTTAGATTATTAATTTTGTTTCCAATCCAAAATTTTTATATGGTGACAACAAAAACCAAAGGACATACACTTAATGAGAGTAAATTTTCACACTCCTACTTTTTCAAAATTGGTAACAGATTTTGCTTTGCAAGAGACTTCTATTTTTGTGGTTGTTTATCAGGTATTGTGAATTGTAGTTAGAATTTTTATGAAGTTCATCATTGAAGAATTCACTAATATATGTACAGTAATTATCAGTAGCATGTCACACACTTTGTTTCAGGTTCCAGTTACAGATTTCTTTTGTGTGAATCATAGGACAAAATCTTCTAATAAAGGCAAAATCAAAGCTTTATTAACTCCTTAAACCCGAGTGGACGCTTCTAGCGTCCGGCTGAAAATTCCAATTTACCCATCGGACAGTGACAGCATCCGATAACATTTTTTGTCTCTTTGGCTGAAAACTAATCCAAACCATGTTGTTATCCACAAAATTAAGAAAATTGAAGTTTTATAAGGTATGGTGATAATTATTAGGAGATCATGAAAATATTTCTGGCAGAACATACAAAAAATTATGGGTTTAAAGAGTTAAAATGATTGACCAAAATTATAAACATTCTGTACAGAATTTTGTATGTCTCATTTTCTTCCCACCATGTTTAATGGAAGAATGAACTCTGCATTGCTTTTAATGCAAATGCTGTTGGTACATATGGGAATAATACATTTTAAAGGAGTACATAAATTGATGGTTAGCCCATAATCATTTATTATAGTAGATGCATCTTGATAAAATAATTTGGTTTCTTGATGTCAGTCGTACTATTTCATTTTCAAGAATTGAGTTCTGTGAAAATTTACGTGTTAAGTTTATTCTTGTGAGTTGGTGATATTGTAAGTTACATTTAAACTAACCACTTTAATCATTATCACCACTACTAAGATTATTAGCATAGATTTATTTACAATAGTATGAATTACACATTTCCTTAGGAGTTTCAACACAAGTACCAATGGTATTCAGACCAGGGTGACTCGCATGTTCAGCCAGGCTCTTCAGAATGACAAGATGCCACTTGCCTCTCACTATGGAGCTGTCTCTGGCCTTTGTGCTATGGGTCCTGAGGTGACCCGAGTGTTTGTTGTGCCTCGGATCAAGTTAATTGGAGAAAAAATTCGTCATGCTCTAGATGAAACACAAGTGAGAATTAACGTGGAGAGAATTGCTGGTGAACGAATCAAGCAGCTTATTTTAGTATGTAGTATTAATTTACTTTATTTATATACAGTAGTGTGGATGTGATTATGTTCATCCCTCTTAATTTCTGCATATGCATTTGTTGTGTTTAATTTTAAACATATTTCTAAGTATATTTGATGTGATTTATTTGTACATTAGATGGTGTAAATAAAATAATGATTATATCTCCAGGATATATCTTTATTAACTCAATTCAGTATTTTGCTATTACATCTTTGTTAGGGGCTATTGATAACTTACAAGTTTGCTAATCTAGTTGAAATGTTTACAAAAAGTTTGCCAAGTTTTGTGAAGATATACTTAATACATTTAAAGTTATAGTATTTATAGCTTCATGGCGGTCACAAGGTCTGTCTGAATCACTGAGCCTGTATACAAAGAATTGTAAAAAATTAAAAGTAATGGTAAAAGTTATGTAATGATTTTGCTGAATTTATTTAGGTATATTAAGACTATATGAGGCTGATGTGCAACTTTCAGTTGTTCAATGCACATCTTCATATCAAATTTCAAAATTTGAGTAAAAAATATAATTTTAACTACTTGAACAAATAATTGCTCAAAAATATTTTAGAATTGATATCTTATCATTATATAACACTTAGTTAATGTAATTCATAAAGGGAAAACTGTTCCAGTTTTAACTTCTGTGCAGCTCTAAGGAGTGGCATTTGTAAACAACACTTTTTTTAAGAATTTCCCTGCCCATTCTAAGTTTAAATTTGCTAAGAAACCATCATCCCTTGAATATATAATGATTCATTCTTGTTTCTCACATGATTTTCTTTCTCTGTCACTGGTTTTATTAAGACAGCTGTTCTTTGCCACCATTTTATGCTGTTGATCTGAAAAATTACTATAAATGAAGCTCAGTCTTATATATTTTTAACCAATGGCTAAAAACAATTGCAAAAATCCTTCTAATCTATAAATGTGTCAGTATAAAGTAATTTTTTTTCATCCCTGAAAATGTTTTCATGTTAATAACATCATACCTGTTTGAAAGCTACAGGCATTTTCTTCTGTGACAATACATCAAGTTTAATTAGGTTTAGTAAGCAATGGCATACTAATCAGATGACCCAAGTCCATTTTATTGAACATTATTGTTAAGTTTATCATATTTAAATAACACACAAAAATAGAATAATATTTTCTGAAAACAAACTATATTTATTAGATATAGATTTATCTCAACTAAGAATTTTGTTGGAAAATATCACTATACCTAGTTAGACAGAGGTAACTGATGCCATTTTAAAAGGTGAACCATAGGTCACCAATAAATGTATAGCTTCAATTGACAAAAGTATCGAAAGAAATATGGTAATGAATATAAAACAGATTGAAACTGACTGGATATTTAAAATGGAACATTCAGAATCAAAAAGAAAGAAATTGAATTTACAAAATAAAATGAAGTATTTTAAAGTTTTGTTTTTAAGTCAAATCTGTATTTAACCTTTGCAGTATGTGAAAGTAATTAATACTCAAAAACTTAGGTAGCTTAACATTATGAAAATATATATATTTCTATGAAAATGGAAGTAAAGGATAAAATCTTAATAGCAAATAAATCTCGAGTAGAAATTTTGTATTTCACAACCTTTTGAAATCTAATAAGGTATTGGTGAAAAAAAATTTTAGCTGTGGCTTATTTTAACCTAACAACTATCTAAAACCCTTCTTTTTATGGCTATTTAATTTTTTTTAGTAAATATTTTTCATCACAAAGCTTAAGTGTAACAGAACTGTCACTAGGCTAATTTTTTATTGAATTTTGCAGTTCTGTAAAACTAATCAAGTTGGGTGATTAGTGGAATTTCTAATTTATTAATTGTCAGACTCATTGATTACATTCAACAAAGTGATTCTTCTCACATGAGTTGGAATAATAGAAAATAGTATTAACCAAAAACACTTATTTCAGTTAGTTGATTATTTTCATGTCATTGATTGATTTAATTGTAACTTTTATTAATAGGTAATTGATTAATCAAGTTAATTGCCTGGATTTAGTGACTAATAGTAGTTCAAATACTGATAATTTTATTTATATTTCAACATCATTTTTATATTACAATTATAAACAACAAGCTGCTAAATAGAGGTTCAATCTTGCAAAAATCAAAAACTACATGCTTTTTAAGTTGCAAAGGTTTAGTCTTTTTCATTTTAGATGTTGATCTTACTAATTTTCTTATTGAGTCCTTACTTTTCTGTCATCAGAGGGCTGTACCTCCACAACTAAAGACCTTCCGTTCTCCTCCTGATGATTTGGAAGAGTACAAGTCAGAGTTTGGTTATCTTGGACCCATGCTACATGCAAATGTTCTTGTTGCTAGACATCAACCTACCACTTCAACATCAACTTCAAGATCTTCTACTACAGTAACACAGGTAAAGGCAATAGTATTTTCTTTTTATTATATCTTGTGTACTTTTTTAAGACAGTGTTTTAATTCTTTACTTATTATGAAAATTCTTAAATACATTATAAACGCAGTTCCTGAAAAATTTGAACAGAAGTTTAAAGTTACTATTTATATAATATTATAAGCTTTATTCCCTGTTCATTTGTGGTCAGTGGATCCTTAGAACTTTGTATTAATATAACAATTGGATTGAAATGTTTCTATTGTTTACAGCCATATACCAAGTTCAGTTTTTCTTGTTTTTAGTCTGCACGAATCATACAAACGTCATCTTCTCGGACACCAACTATTTTCACCGTTCCTCGAGGATCTTCTACACCAGGAGAACCTTCTCCTCCTCCACAAAAGTATTTGATTGTTACATCTAACCCCCGACCTTCAACACCTTCTTCAACAATGGCACCTGCCAGCCAGGGATCAACTAGTATGAGTAACACACCAACTTTAGTCAAACTTGTTTCAGCTGCAGCGTCATCACACAGCCTGCCTGGAAAAGGTATCACATGTAATGTACCCATCACCAAAGTCATGGTTATGAGTGTTCCTCAGTCCTCTACTACATCATCAATTATTCTCAGTCAGCCTTCAGTTGTGTCTTCAGCCATAGGTGTGACAAGTGCCTACTCCTCCTCCAGTCGACCTTCAACCCCAGACACACCAATATCCAACCCACCAACCACACCATTTCTTAAAGAATGTGAATAGGGCAAACTATTGCTCATATTCATTTGAGAAGATGTGTTTCAAAATAATTTTCTTGAACAAGTAGAAAAACACATACAAAACCTGTTAACATGATCTCTCTCTCTCTCATTGTGTAGCAGGAACGTTAAGTATTCTGAACTAATCATCTCGTATGAAAAATGGAAGTACTAGCTGTACTGCTGTTTCACATCCAGAAGTGAAAATAGTTGATTAAATGATAATTTTTACAAATGGGATTTAACTTCAAAGACCTTATCTCAGATTGAAAGTTTCCCAAACAGAATCTTCACAAATTACAAGTGATTTTTTTTTTACAATTTCCTCTTGATGTTTTAGATGTTACAAATGATCATCAAGCTAAAATATTTTATTATTATTATCTTACAATGTAAAAAAAAAAAAGATTTGTTTTCAAATCACCATTTATTATATCACTAAAAATTAATTTGGTCTTCGCTGTAAATGATACCTCTCAATTGGATGTCATGAAGTTGTGCATTGTTTAGCTACTAACTCCACTTTAAAGTATAGCATTTGACTAATTATTGATTCCCTTCATACTGGTTTTGAATTCTTGTGTATAGTATGCTTATTTGTATTTTCTGTAACTTCTCAATTCTTAATCTTTGGTTTCCACTTTGTGTTATTTTTGATTCCTATAATGTTTACTGTTTCAAGATGTACATAATATAATTTTTTGGTGATGAATCTCCTTTGTAAGATGGGTGGATTTTTGTCAAAATAACACAAGTGCTGTAATACATCACATGAAACATCTAATAAAACACTTAGATGTAACATTATATGTCTGGTATAATATCATTAGATATACAAGTAAAACAGACAGTTTGTTGCATTATGCTTTGCAAACATAATTAGGACAAAATATGTTTATTTCGTACATATCTATACCTTGCATGTTCAGACAGTGTTTTAACTCTTTACTTATGAAAATGCTTAAATACACAGTATCTACTCCTTATTTTATTTTTGCATTTGTTTAAAAAGCTTCCCACACATATACGGTGGCATCTATAACTGACCAATGAGTCATTTCATCACAGCCATGTCCTGAATTGATGTGTCACAAGGTTATTCTTTCCTTGACCTACTAGTTTGCAATTGCTTACAGTTAGATGGCCAGCCAACTTTAAGGAAAGCCTCAGCTGGATCCATTTCTGAGAAATAAGTGTCATAAAATGTTTTTTACTTGTATTAACATTTAAGGAACCACCATCTAGTAACCTAGGGGGAAACTCGTACTATGGTTGTGGTAGTTTGTACTTGTATGCACAAAGTTTATAAAATGTAAAGTAATTAAATCAGTTAAGTCACCAAAAAATGGGCCAAAAACAAAGATGCTGAATTCATTTTAATTCTAAATAAACAGTAAGCCAATAAGAATTATGTGAATTAATTAAATGATACAGTATGTTGAAAAGAAATGTTATTTTTACTATAGCAATGTTTTTCAATCACCATGCTAAAGTTGTAGGTTGGGAGGCTCAAACTTTTTATTCACATCAAGGAAGCTTCAGACTAAAAGAGTTTGGGAACCACTGCTCTAAGTGCTTATAAACAAATGAAGAAATTCACACAAATACTGCTGTTTGAGATAAATCTCTGAATGGTAATAAATTCATTCCCCTAATACTTTTTCCTTTGTAATGCTCAGTAATATTACCACCCACTCCTCCCTTATGTGTATGCCCTGCCCTAATTTTATTTTTGCATTTGTTTAAAAAGCTTCCCACACATACATGGTGACATCTTCCCTATTTTCATTTTTGCACAGATTAATGAAGTTTTAGAAAGTTACACACACATACATTACTCTTGATAGTAATGCAACTTCTAAATGAAAATAAGTCACAGAAATAAGACAAATTTATTTTACTTTGATATACAGTCACTTTTAAAATATCTCCACATATTTCAACAGGACTTTCAAAGTTCCAGAGAAATAAAAATTCAAAACCAGAAAAAAAGTTTTATATTAGTTAATAAAATAGGCTAGCCAAAAAAGTTATAATTAATGATCATGTTTTTAAGAGTACAAAGAATTTCCATAAGTTCCAATATAACCATTGTATTAATATTATTTAAAGGAAAGTATTTATGAGGATTAATCGAGGATAAACTGATGGCTCTACAGTAGTTGAGTGAAATGTTTTAAAATATACAATTCAAACAAAACTCCTCATAATAAATTATTGCACAGATTAACATGTTTTGAACTAAATCTGATATGGTTCTTTACTTGGGGGTTCTCTTTTTGTTTTATGCATAAAGTTTTAAAGATGTAAAGGGCCAGTTAAAAATAAGTTGCATTTTCATTGGTGGAATATAAATATAAAAGCACCTAACTCGAATATATCTATTACACCACACAGATTTAACAAACACAACAAATATTTTATTACAAGTACATACTGCTAAGCACAATAACACTATTACAACCATTTTACATACAGCACCACACATTTGATGCCAGAACGTAGAACAAAAAAAAACTTGTACCAAACCAGAGTTAGTTTAGTAGTGTCTGCTGTGACTACTCTCTCTTTGGAGTGGGAGTAGTAATTTCCTTAAATAATCTGTACCATGCTAATCCTTGTACAGAAATAATGCACAGTACACTATGATGTTTTGATTTTGTCTCCAAAAATACAGAGGTTGGCAATTGGTTAACAACACTGATCAAAAATCTTGACTAGAGATAGGCAATCCAATCTATCTACTGTAAAAAGTTTAGGATCATAATTACAACTACTCTTCCGATACTGTTTCATAGTCTTTGCTATTAAGATATTTATGTCAATGACATTTTTTACTGGTCATGTTTCAAAAATTGCTGATAACTTTTTAACACATTATAACAAAACGTGTTAACTTCACTCATGAAACAAACTAGTAATCGATTGTCTCTATTTTTGTAAAAGTTTTAGTTAAAAAAAAATCTACATTCCATATCTGTAAACATAAGTTACACATTCATTAAAATTTAACTTGTGGTACTTCTTGAAACCTAGCTTGGTTGGTTGTTTTGGATAGTTGCGAAACCTACACAAGTTTGTTTTATGCTAGTCATCCCTATTTTCAACTTATGGTTTTGTGGGAAAGCAGTTTGTAAAAAAAAAAAAGCACCCATCACACACTCATAAGCTAATCTAATCAACAGTAGGATTTGGGTATTGATTTTTTAATGCACCCTTAGATTCATAGATGCACTTTTTTTTTGGCAAATTTTATATTTTGGTGACAAGAAACAAACATTCCCAAACCATATCCACAAAAGGTTTTGTTTTACCTTTTTTATGCAATCTTATGTTTTCTTCAGTACAAAATACTAAATTAGTGTCAGCACATAATGTTTCAATATTGTTTGTACAAAATCTGAATATTTACACTTGGTTCATCTATATCTGTGAAACTATAGCTTATACACTGCATGTACTATTATAAATTTTTTTTACTCCCATGCTGAATATATACACATGTATGAAGTGTCCCCAAAACACTTAGTATTAAAGTAATGATTCTTTGAGTTACAAACACTCATAAACTACAAGCAACAGATTTTTTTTAGGGTTAGTAATGTGAATGGTAAAAATGTTACTGCAGGATGGGATGTTAGAATTCAGCACAGTTAAACATTTATTGATGTTGAAATTCCACTATCCATGATATATTAATATTTGAAAAAAAATTTTGCAGTTATGCACATAATTTAATATGTTGATACAAATATTAATAAAAAAAATTCAAGTCCACTATACATTAACTGTTATAATCAAATGTGTACCACATTCCAAACAAAATCAATTTGTACAAGAATAAAACAATGCTCAATTGTAAATACAAATCCACTTAACACAGTTCTTTTTTTCTCATTATACTCCAATGTTAGATAATGACTATTTGATTCACCACTCATTTTCCAAATTAGAAAAAGTTAAACTGACAACAGCATTTGTTCTAAATGCCCAAAAAGCTACTGTAATAAAGATGAACAAATTCAGTATTAATAATTCCATAGTTACTAAGAAAGGCTTATCTTTTTTGGGACTTTTTAATGTTTGGTTACAAAACAAATATTTCTAAAACACAATTACATGAAACTACAAACATTTCATTTGTTTATATTAACTCTTCCATTATACTGCCATCTTTATAGTATCCCTTCTGTAATGATACTTACCACTAAAATCACAAGTTAGTATTAAGCTTTTATTAAATAAATTTTCAAACATAATAACACAACTGGAATAATATTCAGTGTCATTTTATAAAAATTTCTAGAGAAAAAATAAACCTGTTAACAACCAGTATATTTAACAATCTAAAAAAAGTTAAAAATTTCAGACAATTAAGTAGAATGGAACATTCTATACACCTTGATGTTTAAGGTTTTGCTATTTCTTGTATATACCAATAGTAATTAAATAAAATTTTTCAATTCATAAAATATTACTGAAATAGTGCTTGTGTCTACTGAATTTTCAATGAAATACATAAATATATTTGTAACATCTAAATAACAATTTTATAATAAAAAATCAAAACCTCAAAGTTATACTACACATCTTAAAGTATTCTGATCTTAAATAAAACCACAGATTTTCAAATCTAACTTTCACAAAGTAAATTGTATTTACAGTTCTAAATATTAACAATAACTTTTAACTTTTGATGTCACTTTTGCCAAAAACATACCAAGTTTTCCAAAGAAACACTAGTGTATTTGTTTAAAAAGAAAAAGAGAATAAGGCAATTTTTTTCAAATCTATGAGCTGAAACTAGGAATCGGAAATTTTTTGCTTGTTTGCCAAATAACTACCTGAACAAACACAACTTAAACAGTATACTAATATAATAATACTATAAAACTTCTTTTACACAGAGTTGCTATATTTCTGACAAGTAACACAGAGGTATTCTGAAAAAATGAGTAATATTATGCAAACAAAGCTGTATTACTAAATTATTTAAGATAAAATGTAATTAAGAAAAATAAGATAAGTCATCAACACCTGTAGATGGGATGTTCATTTCATCAACACAGAAAGGAATACACAAAATTGAGCAATAAATACATTAAAAATAAAATTATCAAAATAAACTGGAAAATAGGATGCTAAATGTTAAAGGGTAATTTATCAGGATAAAAGATGGGGTTCATGAAATTAAAAAATAGTGTATGTTGAAGAAAGAACGAGTTTGTCAAAATAATTAAATCTCAAAATTGCATCATTATTACAGAAATATAATAAGTGTATGCCACTTTCTCTAGCTCATTGTGTATAGTGTTTCACATGATCTGCTGGAATATAAGATGTATATCACTTTCTCTATTCCACAATGTATAAGTTGTTTCATATGAGCTACGGTTTTTTTCCCTATTCGTTAGTTGTAGCTGAAGCACTGTTCGTCAAGTGAAGTTTCACAAAGCAGACACGCAGTAGTCAATGAAAATGAATACAATAATGTGGCATTAACTTTTCCTGGCACTTCAATAACAAATGAAGTACAAGAAAAGGAATGATTTTAATAAAAGTTCTCTGCTTTACATAAACTTGTTTGGAATAACAGGATACCCACGTGCAAGCTTTTAAAAGTTAATCCAAGTGTATGTCTTCTAAACAAATAAATATTATAATTTACAAGCTATTCTCATTAAAACTGTAGCTGAAGTTATTATAAACCTCAAGTGTAAAACTAAATGTCAATAAGCCTTATTATGTTCAGATTGTTAACTAAAACTCATCAAAATAATTAATATTGTTTAAGACTCATCAATGAATAAACTTTGTTAAAGTGATTTTTTTCTTAAAGAAAGTAAAACAAAACTAAGAAAATATTCATAAAGTAAAAAAAAAAAATCATTCATGCACCATGCATTTATTATACACATTTAATACAAAACTCTGAATAAATCATACTACAGTTTACGGGAGGAACATTGTCTGAGAAAAAATAAATCAAATCACTTACATCTACTCTTAGTCAACATGAAATCTTATATTAAAACATTTGTCAAATAAAGTTTTTGTACTTATTTATTTTCTGCAATTACTATGTAAGGAAAAAATATTACCATATAATTTATTTACTGTTAATGAAACCTGGAAAATCAGCAACAAGAAGAATTACAAAAAAAAAGAAGTCTGATTTGTTACAAGTTAAACAACAACACATTCTACCTGTATCAAGGTAAAAGCTATTAAATATGAAACCATCTCTTCCCTAAAACATGTACAAGTTAATGATAAGGTTCCTTCAGAACATTTTGTATCTGCATACGTGAGACAATCTAAACAAATCAAGTCATTCAATAAAATAACAGGAAACAACTATATATTCAAAGTATACATATAACAATCTAACAATTACACTGACACCATAGAAACCGTGCATCATGATTTAATAATATCTACTTATCCTAACCATAATTATTTAACAATTTATATTTCATATTTTAACAGACACAAAATAGCAGTTAATCAAAATGCATACCAACATTAAAGACTAGCTTTGAATTTAAATATGTTTTACACTTATAAAAAATGTATTTTGCAAGTTTCATAAAATACAGAGATCCTCAATAGACAAATATATATATATATTAATAACTAACTTACTTTAAGTGACATTGGTCAAACCTTTCTCAAAACATTTAATATTTTAACAAATTAAAAAAAACAACACCAAGCCTATATTGATTGGAGCTTTCCTGAGCTACATGTACATTTTAATGAACAATGAGAACACTCAAAACATGCCCAAAGTGTGCTTATATAGTGTACCAGTGCTAATTAATATTTATTAGTGCATTTATAACAAAACAAAGAAGACTGAAAAATATACATCAAGTAAATTAATTTACATAATTATTTTTTGTATACAATTATACATCTCAACAAGATCACTAACTATAATATAGTCATCAACTGGCTGAATAAGTAAGACTTGACTTCTTTATACTGGCTCTCCCTCAAATCCTGGGATCTTTATTCTGGTGTGAGTTCGCAGATTTAAACCACTACCTATACCAATATCTCCCTGAACACTGGTATTCTGTTAAAAACAGAAAAGAAAAGATTTATATATAACAGTAGTTACTCAATAACATGTTATTTATACTTTATGTGTACATTAAACATTTAGTGAGAGAATTAGCATAATAATTTTCAATACACTTGAATCTTATTGTGTGCATTATACATCTAAAATCTGAGAAGGTTTTTATGCAATTAATATAATAGCTCTAGAAATTGGAATATCTACAATGAAAAATTACAAAGAAATTTCATTGCAGCTTAGTTAAATACATGTAAATATATACAGCGATTTTTCTTGCTTGCTACATAACGCAAAATAATTTACACATTTAGTATTTATATATTACAGAATAAAGAGCCTAAATATTATTTACATATTAGTGGATCTTGATCCACAAAATTTGCACTTTTTTCTATCTAAATATTTTTACATCACTTACATTGTTATGATAAAAAAAAAACTTAGTTGAATAAACACAAATATAACAAAGAAAATCAGGTAATTTCATTTTATTAATTAAACTATGATTTTTGCTTCAAAATTTGATAAGTTCTACTTTATAATAGTTTCAACTGTTAAATATTACTTAAATTGATAAAAATCAGTAATAGCTAAAAAAAATTTCACATCTAAATGCAAAATAAGCAGTTCACTTAAATGCATCATTAAGAAACATGTATAAAATTATTAAGCACAGATTTTCAACATATTTGTAAAGATTAAAAGAAAATCCACTTTTTATTTATGTTCCCTCAAAGCTAAGCATGTATATTTGGTGTTTATTGCTCACAAAGAATTATTTACATTTAGAATTACAAGCAACAAGCACATTAAGGTTTATTAATGTCAAAAAATTCAATTAACCTCTAATCATAATTTAAATGGCAAAATATTTTACAATGTAGTTGTAAATAATCATAAAAAAACTACTAAAAATGTCATTAAGAAAAACTCAGTATACATGTGAACACATACATGCAGATACAGTTTCAGTAAGTTGCAGTGAACTCATGCTGAGGCTATAAAATAAAAGAAACATACAGTTGAATATAAAAAAATCAGAAAAAGGTATAACTAGTAATCTAAAACCATTTTCAACAAAAGAACAAAGTTTTTGCTCGTGAACTCAGTATGATGACTAAAAATACAATTCTATGATATGTCATATTTAGAAAAAATGACTACTTCGTGAAAATGATAAGGCCAGAACAGCACATTTCATAAATATTGAATGATATGAATATCAAAATCAATGTGACTTATTTCCAATCACAAATAGCAAATTATACTGTATGTTTATAAAAAAATATACATAATACTCTTTTTTTTTTTTATGTACTGTTTTATAGACATGACATTTTACAACACATTCCTGCATAAGGATAGAAAAAATATTTCTCACGTGCACAAACATCTCACTATAAATTCTTTAATAATAATAACAATATCAAAGATTAAACTGAAAATATTATACATATACATTTTTTAATAAATGTAATATATATTAATCACATTTATGCACAACAATGAGCTAGGTAGTACAAAGACTATACACACTATGGTAACATTTGTATGTATAAAATGCTACATTGTAATTTCCAACATTCCCAATGAAATAAACATTACACTTGAAAACTTAGATCATTATTAAGCTTTTCTTGTATTTAGTTACTGAATATCACAGAATAAACTTACTTTCAGCTCAGTCATACAAACTCACAAACATATCTAATTGTAGAAATTTATTTTTGGTTGATCAAATCAAATATGATTAATAAAACTATAAGCTCTAGTTCAGTCAGCTTTGGCATATTCTGCTCAATTCTGACCTTTTATATAATAGGTAATTCTAAAAATCTACATACAAAGTATGTAAATTTTTAGGATATTAAAAGTCTTATAATGACAACACTAAGGTATGCACTTTTTGTTTTTTTTTATCTAGAGACTCAAATTACAAAGATATTTACTATTAAATTATATATAACATGAAACTACTTCTTACTGAATTAGAGATTAAAATAACATCAACAGCACTTATATGTACCTGAAAGCTTAGAGCTAAATTTAGATCTTTGTGAACTTACTCCCTCATCCTTGAAACATTTCACTTTCCCCAAATAAAATCTTATATAATAACTTATTATATCTACTTCTTAAGGTCCAGGGTTTTGGAATATTAACAATAAATTCTAAATTAGAATACCTTTTCTGGTGATTGGGGGTCGCTGACAGTAGCATTGGCATCTTCTATACAAAATGGCTAAAAATGAGTTCAAGATTATAGATCAAATGATACATGTTTTAAAAGTACAGTAAAAGTATATTTACATTAAGGATTATAGTCATAAAATATCATATTTTGTTACTATTTTAAAACAACTCAAATATTGAAGTAAATATGAATGAAGTAGTGCAAAGAATTTTTTTACTCCATAAATAAATAGGTAACTAAAACATTATTACTAAGAAGATTGTAAAGCTCTGCATATTACAAAATATTAAACATAACGCCTAAAATTTCTAATTAAGTCATTTAGCTAAATTTATGAGAATGTTGTGGGTTACAACAAGCAGTAAAACTGGGCATGAAGAAAATCTATGTCACATCTTTTTTCAATACGTAAGTACGCTACATGCATAGAGCCTAGACTGTTCATAAGTTTGTTTTGTATATGTTACTCAGTCGCAACGTTTATTTTTATGTTAATAACTGATAACAATATAAGAATGAAATATACAAAATAATTATTAATACTAATAAATTATTTAGAGCTTTAATCTCCTTTTAATTACTGATTTTATTTTGTTACTCTGGCCTTATGTCTGAAGTAGGAAGATATAGATTAAACTGATTGTGGACCATCAAAAATAAAACTAGTAAATAGGACAACAGAGTATTAAACATTTTAACCATACTAATAATAGTTAATAATTAGTTAATTTTAAAATTATGTTAACAAATAGAATGCAAGTAAAACATTCAAATGTAAAAACAGTGATGTAAATGAAGTTGTAAGGGTTAAACTGGGATAATGCAGATTTCAAATGATCACATACTAGTTTATACAATGATGCTCTAATGGGCTTGGCTTAGAAACGATTTAATGCTAGATCCCTACAAGAGCAACATGTGTTTATGTGTGAATTTTTTTACACTTAATTCATACTACTGATTGATGCAGTTACACAAACATTTTTCAGAGTTAACTGTATACTGAATAATTTACACATACATATCATAATGACCATGTTAAAAACATTGACTAAAACTTCTTTATCTGTCAATACTTAATGTGTCATTTCTATACTTGAGATCATGAAATATTCCAAAATATGCTACTTTGATGACTATTGTTTTTCATTGTCATATCCCTATTTTAATATAATCATGTACTGTTATGTATGATGTAATATAATCTTTTCAAAAAGTGCTATTTTTTAATATAAAATTTCTTGGAAGAAAATTTTATGATAACGCTTTTCAGTTTTGGTAAGTGTGGTTTGCTATTAATTTCACCTCAGTGCATGGTCCAAAAACAAAGTTCAAGCATAAAGTGATATTCAAAGATTTGGAAACATTATTTAACTTTAACCCTATTACCACGGGTATCCTTTACTGCGCATAACACAAGGTTTTAGTGTCTTACATTCAAAATTTTATTAAACTATTTTTTGTTTATGTTATACCAATTAGAATAGCATAAAATCTTAGCTAATAATCCATATTTCAATAGTATACAAATTTTAAGTTCTTAATTCTACAATATTTAAAAAAATCCTGAATTTCCACCGACATGACACATTTTCTCTTAGTATGTCATCATCCCAATTTTATCCACAACCCCTCAAAAAGTATAGAAATTAAACATAAATTACTCTCTATAAAAT